GCACTGTGGGCTCAATGGTGTCAAGTTGTACTTGTGGTTTCAACACCCTTCAGCAACCCACAGTAGCTGCTGGGCCTGGGATTAGGACTCAAGGCCTGGCAGTAGCGTCGGGCGCCTCGAGCCCAGCCAGGCTTTCTCCTCCGTGCCTTTGTCTCTGGGTTGGATCTTTGGAATTAAAAGCTTCTCCAGAATGAAAAGCACAATCTAAAGGAGTAAACTTAACCAAATGAAGAAACTCCCTCTTTAAATTTTGCTTGGTCTTCTGAATAATCACACCCCTACCCCCATCTCCAAATAACCTTGCCAAGCTCCAGGCTCTATAGGCTGGAGTTGAGAATGTTTTTCCTCTTCCTGGCTTCACCAGGAAAGGTGTGAAAGCGGGCTGAAGAGGCAGAGGCAGCTGAGACTTGGCATGGCTGCAATAGGGCCTAAAGTGCATTGGCCCAGCGGCCTGGAAGGCCCACGGAATCTGGCAGGCCGGGCTATTTACAAAGCAGGGGCCATCAGCCAACCCGCGCGCGGGCTGGGACCAGAGACCCAAAGCGCCCGCCCCGCCCCTAAAGGGTGCAGGGTGGCTGGGGAGAGAAGCACCACGGGGTGGCTGGCCAGCTGTGCCCCTCAGGCGCCCCGGCCCCCGGGATCCCCTCCCCCAGCACCCCCAAAAGTGTAAGCGTCGCTTTCCTCCTGGGGTTGTGGGATTCACGCAGGCCACTGACGACCACCGAAGTCACACAGCACCCGGGTGCTGGGCGGCAGGCCCTGTCCCAGGCCACCCACTGGCTCGGTCCTCCCTCCACTGAGGGGTGGGGGTGGGGCTGTCCCTTCGCCGGGTCCCTGGGAAAGTTAGGCGCTCGCAGCCGGCCCTTAGCAGGTGCGGCTCCTCCCTCCTGCCAGCCTCCGTGGGGGGCGCGCACCCACAGTTTGGAGAGCAGCAGGGGATGACCCTGCGATCGCAAATTCCTCTTTCTATATCCCAGCAATAGGCAAGTGCACCCTTTCGGAGTGGTCGCTAAGCTGTGGCGGCGGGCTTCGGTCTCCCCACCCGCTGGGCTTCGGGAGCGCTGCGGGGACGTGGGAGCTGGCTCGTCAGCGCGCGCAGGGTCCGAACCCGCCCAGCCCGCGCAGGGTACCCAGCCAGCGCCCCACTGAGAGTCTCCAGAGGAGATCGGGCACTGGACGGTGATGGGGCACCGAGGCAGGGGATCCTGCGTGCCTGCCACTTCGATAGAATTCTGGATCGAGCTTTATGATTCTCCACCCGCCACTGCATTTGAACCTACTAGAGTAAAAATAAAAAATAAATAATAAACATAACCTGAGCCGAAAGCCTGGAGAAGATGTTCTATCGCCAAGAGAAGCAGATCCCCTGAAAATATAACCCCAGAGCCGCTAATTTTAGGAAGTAGTGGGAATAAAACACAAAGGCAATATAAAGCTTTCATTTCCTATAATATGAACTATTCTTAAAAAAGCCATTCTATTTGGAAAAGTAAGCTAGTTTTTGTCAACAGGTAAACTTAAAAAAAAAGGCAAGCCTTAAGCTCAAGTTAAAATTCTAAGTACATCTCTCAACTCCTCCTTTTGTTTATTTAGCACAATAATAGTTTCTGTTTGATTTTCAAACGACTAAACACACACACACACACTTTGCTATAATTTCAAATTTAGAGGACAGGTCATTTTGATAGACTGAAAGGCTCTTTTTGCCCAGTAGTTCAGACCAAAGAAAGTTACAGCTCTTTCCTACGCAGACAGCTAGTTTTTGAAGAAAACAAAAAAGATTCCTGTTTCTCTAGGATAGTTTCTTTCCTTAATCGAAATGCTGAATTTCAGGGGAAATACTCTTGATTTTACCTTCTTTGAAATCTTGCACTGGGATTAAAAAAAAAAAGCCAGACACCTGTTTTCTAGACAATCTATGAGATTTAGCCGTTTGCCAGGAAGGTGAAAAGCTGGGCAGAACTGGCTCTGGAGGAGGAAAGCTTTGGAAACAGAGACTAGACTTTTAATATCACTCGGAAAATAAGTAACTAGGAGCAAATTATTTTGTTCACTCCGAGACTTTTGCAATACTAGCAGGACCTCAGAAGACATTACTGAAAACGTCAAAACAGCAACCAGAGCATCTTCATTTTATTTTTTTGAAATGGGGACAAAATGAGAGAAGTAGTCTTTGCTTGGTTCTTCATTTTCATCCTGTTTCTCTTGCCAGTTTTTTTTTCCTTTAGCATCGCACAACCTGTAAAAGGTGTGCCCCCAGACCTCAAACTGGGCTGGAGGTTGGCTAGGATGAGAAGAGTAGAGGAGGAAGAAGAGGAGGAGGAGGAAAGTGAGGAAGAGGAGGAAAAAGGGAAGAGGAAGATTGTATCTTTTTTAAATGGAGTTAAAAGAGTGTCTGCTTAGTTTTTATCGAATTAAGATCATATTATTCTGTAAGGATAGAAAAATTGGTGTAGACATCTCGTTTCCTTTTTAGAGGGTAATAAAGAGTTTTCTCTAACCCTAAAGCAAGATTCTAGCGATTTCCTGAACTGGAGCTGTGCATCTCCTACTGTGTCCGACAGGGGGCGCTGGGCACGAACCTGCGCTGCGGCTCAGCGCCACTTCTCATCTGAGCCGGGTTCCAGCCCCGGAAGGCGAGAGCCGCGCGCGGGGTCGAGTACAGAGCTTTAGTCTTCCTGGATAAAAAGAGATTAAAGACTGAATTCTTTGTGTGTGTGTGTGTGTGTGTGTATGTGTGTGGGGGGGTGTTATCAATTTTAACCAACTATGAAACTGTAGAGCTTTTTGTTCTTTGATGTTCTTATAAAGAAACTCCTGTCGGTTGAGAAAATTTTAATACTGCAGCTATAGTGTGTGTGGGCAAATTATTTAATTTAAAAATATATTTTTTCCATCTGCTCACATGATCTTTTTAGAAGTACTTTAAAAGCTGGCACTGATCCCTTTGGCCTGTTAACCCTGTCCCAAATTTCAAGTATTTTTAGCTATGTCGAAAGGCCCTTCTATTAATTTGAAGGGGGTGGGGTGGGGTGGGGGAAGAAACTCAAATATTTAAATGCCCCTAAATACTTACTTACTCCTCTGCCTCCCTTTCTCCTGCTTTCTTTAAACAGGGGCTCTTATGGGATGGAGACATTTCATACTTGGGATTTTTCAAAGCCAGGTATAAATGATAAGATGCAAATCTAACTAAGAACAGCAACAATAATAATCTGAGTGTGATGTTGGATTGTATAGCGCCTAAGTAAGAGAAGGATTCTAAATAAAATTGTAATCCACCCACCCCCCACCCCACCTTAAAAAAAAAGCTTCACCTGTATTTAAATAGCGTGTCTTTAATTACAGCAGTCGGGGATGCAGGAGGCTGAAATAAAATTAGCAGTCATTACCAGTCCTTTAACTCTGTGGTGCACTAAATTAGCCTTCCAGTCCTCACAAAGACTCGACAGCAAGCAGTGGGTTGTAAATAAGACAGCGCGACCTGCCCTCAACACCTTTTCCCTTGCCAATCATAGCTCTATCATTCAGCCCAAGATTAACCTTTATCTACCAAAAGTTAAAAAAAAAACAGAAAAATGAAGAGGAAGAAAAGAAAGAAGAAAAAGAGGGGAAAAACGGAAAAGAAAAAGAAGGCATTAAGGAAAGCCCTCTGACCACCACATGTCGAAATAACATAGCTTACAAGAAGCCCCTTTAAATTGGATTATAATGAGTCAGTGTCAGAATACGCAATTTCCACATCATCCTCCACATCCCACTCAGGAGAGTCAGAACAGTGGCTCAGGTAGGAAATGGATCCCATTCTCCCAATTGGGTGTGGACCACCCATCCATACATCAATTTGCCCTTTGCCTCTCCACCTCTACTAAAGTCTAAGACTTAGAGAGTTGTGGCAGGAGGGGATGGTCGAGAGAGAGCATGGATAATTTTAAAGGCATAGACATACGTTTCCGAGCTGCAAACAATCAATTTACTCAACTCACAGTCTTTAGTTTTTGGAGGGGAAAAAAAAAATTCTAGCGAGAGCAACAAAAACCCAGCTGCCCTTCACAGCACAGAATTGTGAAAGTAAAACATCGCCCAAGTTGCCATTAGAGGGCGCCAGGGAGCAAGTTCCCCCCCCCCATCGTTTCCCCCCTCCCCAATCCCACAGAAGCCCTCTCAGCTCCCAGCTTCGTCAAGCTCTGTAATTCCTCCTCTCAGGTAATATTTCCTGCATATCCTGCCCCCTTGCGTTTCCCTCTCTTTCTATGTCAGTCTCTCATAAAGAACGAGATCTCGCCATGGCCCCCTTGCCCTCTTTTTTTTTTTTTTTTTGCAAGCGCCCTCCCACCCCTTACCAACCTAAAATAGTAAGCTGACTGTTGCAATAGCAGAAACCCCACGAATGATATATACCTCTTGACTCAAATCACTCATCCTCAGCCACACGGGGTCTGGAGAAGACTCTTTGTAGGGGTGCAATGCTAGTTTAACATTTTAAAGATGGAAGCCTGAAATGTTCTTCATAGGGTTTATCTCTGGGGACTCCATAGAGCTATTTCTCCATTTTTATAAGAACAAAAATAGAGAAAAGAAAGACACAGATACCCTTAGCATTTAGGTTCGGTACTAAAACTGTTCCAAGAGAATAAAATAACATCATTTCATTCCTGCATTTGTGAAAGAAATCTCAATTAGCATTTAATTCCCAAACTTAATGCTTTTAGACTTAAGCCTCCCTGTGTTAAATGACTGCCACACAGAGTATATTTCCAGATCCCTTAAAGGTCAAAAAAAAAAAGAAAGAAAGAAAGAAAGAAAGAAAGAAAGAAAAAGACAGAAAGAAGGAAAGCGGAATGAGAGGTGAGTGTGTGTGTGTGTGTGTGTGTGTGTGTGTGTGTGTGTGTGTGTGTGTGTGTGTGTGTGTGTGTGTGTGTGTGTGTGTGTGTTGGGGGGGGGGGATGGGGAGGAGTGAGTTAGCCGTGAATGTCAAAGTTGGGTTCCAAGCTACTTACATGTCCATGCCAGATCAGGGTGTTGTCTTGTAGCAGTTTGATTGGCAGGTAAAAAAGCAAAGTACGTGAGGGCTCCCTGAGCCTCTTGTCAGCCAGGCTTGATCACTTCTCACCGGACAGAACGAGTTGAAGGAGCTAGCAGTTCCCCTTCTCGTCCTCTATCCCAAGCACCGTGAATCCATTTCGGCTTTTCTTCCCCCCAGTCTCTCTCTCCATCAGCCTCCTGCCTTCACCCGCATCGCCTTACACCAGCCTCCAGACCTAGCCTAGCTTTGCACAGCAATCCCCTGCAACAAGAAAAATCGTTTATGGCTTAAAACCCCAAATGGCTGATTTTTTAAAAGAGAGAGAGAGAGGGAGAGAGAGAGAGGGAGAGGGAGAGGGAGAGGGAGAGAGAGGAGAGAGGGTGAGGGGGAGACAGAGGGGGAGAAGAATGCACCCAGAGAACAACAAAAAAGTCAGTTATCCTAACACTGCTCTGTCCCCCCACCGCACAGAAGAAGAATAAAAAAAAAGCTTTATGTTTTTTCAGTGGGTATTCAAAGATAATTTGATGCCATTGTTTCTGCTACAGATGGTTCTTTTAAATACAATAACACAGCTCTTTGTGCCGGGTACCCACAATAAAAATCGAAAGCGTTCCCCTGAATAACCATTTTGTTCTCTCTTGTATAGGGGCCAACAAAAGATGCGTGAGGTAATGGGTTCTGTTTATTAAAGCCATAGAATAGGGGTTTGATAAAGATTTTTTTTTTAAGCAGAAGACCTTGCAAGGTCGGGCTGATCTCTTCATATTTTTTTATTAAAATATTTGTCCAGTAGATTATTCCTTGGTGCAGCTGCAGGTTTTCTCCCCGATTCTTAATCAGCTCTAACATCTGTCTGTTGGAGGAAGCTTAAAAAACCCACAATTGTATCAGTGGTGCAGTAACCTTATCAAATTCTGACTTGTTAGGCTCAGTACAGGCAAATGCAACCGAGTTTCAATTCTATTTGGTTCTGATTGGGGCATGGGGGGGGGAGGGTAGGAGAGACTGCAGCCTCAGCTGGAGTGACTGAGGGAAAGGAGGCTTTTCCTCTTTCTCCCCCCAGCTCCCTGGTTGGCCATACACAGCTGGATGATCCAGACACACAGCGCTGGACCTCTTTCATCTGAGATGTCTCTTCTCATCTCTGTGAGCTTTTACTAGTGTATGCAGGCTGGATGGGCTGTGTGTGGTGGGGGTGGGGGGCGGGAGTGAGGCCTATTTTCAGGTCATGCTCACCCTCCTTTTTGGCTAAAAGTCTCCAGTTTTAGAAAAACCTAGGATGGAGCCCAGGGTGAGTGGAACAAGTTAAAGGTGAGTCTCTGCTAACCAATAGGGCCTACTTTTGTTCCTCCTTGACTCATCCCTCTGCTAGCTTTGACTCATTGGCTGTAGCTGTGTTAGAAGTGGGGATGGGCAGCTCCCCAAGCCCCACAGGCTTGCTCCCCTCACAATCCTGCAGTTTCCTTTCACTGGGGTCCCCTATACCTCAAGCCAGCTGAGGCTCCAGGTCAACTCTGAGTAAGCCCTCACCACTTAGGCAATGGGGTCACTGCAGGGGAAGTTGTTAGTTTCTGACTAGGTTTGTCTACCTTTCTGTAGGAATGAGTGCCAAGGCTCTCTGGGCCTCCAATAGGCCGCAAGGACAAGCAATCCACTTTCTTGACTACTGCTCTGTGTGTTGTTATTTGTGGCAAGACAATAGTCTGGAGAAATGCCTTTCATCTTAAAAAAAAAGTTTTCAATGGGTTCTCTACCTCTGCCTCATCCCCACCTCTGCTCCAATTCCTCCTCCTCTTCTTCCCACAAACCTTCCATAGAAAAGAAAGATCAACATTTAGATGAGTGTCTCAACAAAGCTGAGAGCAACCTCTACTGTCCCCTTGGGAAAAAAATGATGTTATTGGTTTACAACACATCATTTAGGAAGGGAGATGATCACCCCGGAAAGCTTTTCCTATAAAACTTGAAAAAGAAAGGCAACAAAGACAACAAAATAGGAAATTAGACCATTTTTGGTGATTTGTTTTTCAACAACTCATTGTGTATTTTAAGATAAACAGTTTAATATCAGTCACAAAAAAAAGCAAGTCAGAGAAATACTAAAAATAAAAAAGTTAGTCATTTCATAACCCTGTGCCTTTGTGAGTGTTGGAGGTAAGGGAAAAATTGAGAGGAAATTCGAATGCCCTTTCCTGGATGGGGTCCAGTGCCATTTGTTACTTAGGGCATTGGGAAAGGAGGAGGAGGAGCATTGGTGCAAACTTTCAAGTCCATGGTGGTAACATTTCCCCAAGCAACTGTGGGATGTCAAGTGTCTTCTAGTGTTTTCATAGAAGTGTGACCACTGAAACAGCCGAGGGTTTCCTTCTGGTCTCCTTTATCATATATATATATATATACATATATATATACATAGTTAGTATTAAGACTTGAAGAATATGCCAATTTGATAACTCTCTCTCCCCCTCTCCCTCCTCTCTCTTTCTTCTTACAGTGGATTGCAAGACAAATCTGAACTGCTGTTCTGGGCTAGACTTGAGACTGTAGGATAGGAAGGCCTCAGTGGGTAGCTGGAGGGAGTCCAGATGAGCAAATGAATACTTATTGAGGCATGGCCTAGTCCTAAGGAGTTTAAGATCTGTGGGCCTCAGTCTCTTGAGAGGGATAAAGAAGACTAGTTTTTTTTTTGGTTTTGCTTTGTTTTTAGGGATAGCACCTGAAAACCTGTCTGAAAACCAGTCAAGCAATGGCATTCTACTTGATATTGGAAGAAGAATAACTTTTAACTAATGTATAAAGTGTCATGTCAGAGAAAGGACCAACTTGACAAACTGCCTTGGGAACACAAGAAGGAAGAAGGAGGAGAAGAAGAAGAGGAGGAGGAGGAGGAAGAGGAGGAGGAGGAGAAGGAGGAGGAGGAGGAAGAGGAGGGGGAGGAGGAGGACTTGAAGGGGTGGGGGAGGACAATTTTCTGTGTGCCCAAAGGAGAATCTGCAACCCTGTCTCCGGTGGGAAGAAGAGCCAGAATCAGTTTTTTGAGACTCCATTTATGATGTTTATAGGTGACTGAAATGGAAATGTCACTGTTCAAAGGAGCACTGAAGTCCGTATTGACCCCCTCCCTCCTTTCTGCGAATGCAAGCCTTCCTGGGGAAGAGTGGGGTGCAGGTGTGTGCCATTCTGCACGAGCTATTCAGGAGAGCAGTCGAGGAGGGGAGGGAGGAAAGAAAGCAGAAAAGAAGGAAGTGAAACAACCAACGAAAGAAGAGCTAGGAGAGGAGATTTTAAAAGACAGGATTTAAGCACACCACGGGCAGAGCGGATTAGCAAAAGCGGCCCCCGGGATCTCGTTTTCAACCGCCGAGGCTGCTTACACGGAAACACGATACGCTCGACCAGGGTCTGGGTTTTCCTGCAAACCGCGGAGGACCACACAGATCTGGAGGTTCGCAGGGAGATGGAACGGCTGTCAAACTGGAGCCCCCCTCTCCTAAGGAATCAATCACCGCCAATGCGCCGCCGCCACCCCTCCACGTGGAAAGAAGCGGGGCTCGGCTGTCGGGGCCCGGACTCGGCTTGCTGGCGGGCGCGGGGTCTGGGGGTCTCGGGTCTCGATGGGGAAGGCACACGGGCAGGGCGGATCATCTCGAGCTCAGGCGCCTCAGCCCGCACCCCGCAACCCCGTACCCGCACCCAATCCGAGGAGCCGCAACGCCAGATCAAAGGGTCCGTGGCTTCCCACATCTGCAGCGAAGTCAGAAGTGAGGATGCCTTAAAACACGCCCGGGGACTGAGGACAAGTAATTGGCCCAATTCGATCCAATTATCCACTTAGACCCCAAACAAAGCAACCCAACGCCCCACTTGACGAGCACCTGAAGACCCGACCCGCGGTCTCCCCTCCGCCTCCAGACGCCGCTCCAATCCCAAGCCTAGATTCCTTAACCGAACCCCAAGATCGCGCGCGCGCCTGCGCGCGCGCCGCGTGCAGAGATCTGCACGCCTCGCTCTGCAGAGCCTCTTAAATAAACCTCTAACCCGAACCTCGGCCTTCTAGCCTCCCTCATCCCTCCCAGTAGCGAGTGATAGCCCGAGGCACCCAGAGCTGAGGCTGGTCCATCGGTTCCCCCAAAGCCCAGCCTTCTGGGTTCTCTGGGCCCTGTGGACAGGCAGCCTTCTCCAACGTGTCTGGCCTCGAAAAGTGGAGGCTGGAGGCCGCCAGGCTGGGTTCCCTCTTGCCTATAAAAGCTGCATCCCTACCTCTTCCCGCCCTTCCAGGAGCTCTCTCTCTCTGCCGGCAAGCCCTGCGGGGCCTGGTCAACCCGGCTTGGAGTTGGAGACTCCTTCACCTAGGTACCCTAGGAATAAAAACCTGGATCCTGCTGCCATCGACAGCCCCTGGCTTTCCTGCCACCTTTCCCTACAAGCCTTCGCAGGTGGGTGAGGAGGATAGGAGCTCCCTATACTCAAATCCCTCAGCGACTCTAGGAAGGTTTAGTTCCCTTCCGAGCACACAGTGTGGCCACTTCGGCACATAGTGCGGCCACTTGGGTTTGTTCTTAGTCCATGATGTGTGGAGAGATCGTCCAGGGAGAGCTGAAACTTGGTCCCTTGGGGAAGCAGGGACCTGGGATGGAAGTCAAGAAACAAGAATCAGCGAGGGACTGCAAGACAGGGCCTTGGAAAGCGTGATCACTGTGAAGGCAGGCTCAAGGACCTGTTAGATCAGTGGCCAAAGACAAGCAAGGCCTTCCTACCACCCTTATATTTCTAGAACTCGGGGTTCTATTTGTTATATGTTGATTGACAACAGGGACCGTGGAAAGGCATGCTTTATAATTGTGTGGTAACAAGGCAAAGGCAATAGATTCCTTTAAATTTGGTTGTTGATAAAGCAAAGTTTAACAAACAACCCTATTATTATCACTTTATGTGTTAAAACATGAGTTTCAAAGCATTAAGTATTGAAAATAGGGCACGGGGTTTGTGATCTTTTTTTTTTCAGTTTCTTAATTTATCCATGTAGTTAATATTTCCAGAAATGCCAAGGTTTCCTCTCAACTTCTGAGTAACAAGATAGGGAGGAGAGAAAGAGAAAGAGACCACATGAGCCAGGTGCAGGTGGCTCATGCCTATAATCCTTAGCTACTCAGGAGGCTGAGATCTGAGGATCGCAGTTTGAAGCCAGCCTGGGCAGGAAAGTATTGAGACTCTAATTTTCAGTTAGCAAGCAAAAAGTAGGAAGTGGAAGTATGGCT